CAACAGAAAACGTCTCAAATACTTTCTGTTGAGGGAACCCTACTCCCCGCCTTCTCGTGGCGGTGGTTTCCCACCAAAATGAGGCGACCACAAGCCGAAATCCGGGGCTATAACCGGCTAGTTGAAACACTGTCAGTTCACCTAGGGTATTCGGCTAAAAAAAAACGATTCNCAACTAACAAGAGACGTACGGACCAGATAAACCCACGCTTTCCTGGCCGTGGCAGTGGTCACCGGATCGATTGAGCATCGAAGTGTATTGGGTTTCTTGGACGTTTGACCCCGTCCGAAAGGCGTATGATCCGATGAATTGGCCACCGGCCACCAATGAATTGCGATTTTTACGCACTGTACCGTTACCTTGCGGGTCAGGCTAACTGAAGGCTCAGGTTGTGAATTCTCTAAGAAAATTCACTCGTATTGGCGTGGCTAACCTGGCGGTGACGTGCTCTGGAGGAAATAACGGAGAGTCTTCCGTTTTATAAAGACTTTTGTGCGGTGTTTTGTTTGATATTTTGATCTCAGGCGTGTGAAAATAATTAAAGGAGAATGCGATGCGTTACCTGTCTAAAATGCTGTGATCGCTCGTCGTGATTGGGTATTCTCATCTGATCATCTGGCTTTGGATATGCCTGTTGGTTTTATGCATTACTGACGTGTTTACTCATTAGTAGTATTTATATTGAAGCAAAAGAAGTACACGTTTGGTGCTGATTTCACCCTGTTCGANTCGAATTATATATTGATGGGAGCATACTGCGGTGTCCAATTCAAGGTTATTAAAAAAAAACTGTTGCACTATAAATTACGGAACCAGAGATGAAGGAATTTTGTAGCCATATTTACCTCCACTGATCGCATACACCCAGGTGATCCCAGTCGTTCATCTGAAATGGGGTTTTCCCTGGAAATAAGGACCCTTTGACCTAAGTGTGTGACCTCTCCCTTCCTGTTTCATCCCTCTTCCCCCTCCCTCTTCTTTCTCTGTTTTCACGATTCCCTATTCTAAAACCACGGATCAACCATTTTTTTTTTGGTTTTTGGTTTTCACCTCTTTCCCAACCACTTCTCACCACTCCCTTGCCGTCCAATCAACGCATTTTCGTTCTGACATTATTTGTTGCACGTTTATTCATTAAATGTATATAACTGTATTAATCAGAGGATGAAGTTATCGAAAAAGAGCTTGTTCGCTACTCGTGTCGTTTTGTCAATGTAACATTGGGAATTTTCAGTGAATTACGAAACCGCAAGGAAAACCTGGTTGTAAAGGAGCTTAATCGTTATTTGAGCTTTCAAACCAGATTTGCCGAAGTGAATGCAGCCATCAGTTTCGTGAGCGAAGGCATCGAGGTAAACCAGTATCCCCAGAGCTACTGGAAATCTCTAAGACGCGCCCGAATCAGATCGGACTCAGTATCGCTCAAACGCCACGCGAGGAACCAGTTGGATACCCTAAGAATGAAT